CGATAAGGCAAGAAGTAGGACCCGTGTAAATATCGGATCAGTTTTCCAGCTCTGGAGAGAACTCAAGGAGCGGAGGCCTGCGATCGGACGGCGGGGTTGCTTTGTTTCTTCTCAATAGGTGTGTAACACCGTGTCTACAACAGCTAAAGTCTGCCTACACTGGACGCGATCAAACGACCATTGAAAACCATTTGAAATGTGTGTCAGCACGTCATAAATAGAACCCGGCAGCAGTTTTCTGTCGGGGATTTGTTGCACCGCGCCGCTCACGTCCGATGTAGACACGGTGTAACATTGGTTTTGCTTTGTTTCACAGAACTAATCGTTGCCTGGGTTGTGTACGTATATGTGGGGCGGAGCTATCAAAATAGGGGCAAGACCCTTTTGGGGTATGGGCGTGTTTGTTTTGGTGATTTCAAATATCAACATTGGCTACCAGAAATCACTTACTCTGCCTTTAATGACACCCCCCCTGCTTTGACTCTTTTGGGAAGTCAATGGATCTTCAAACCCTCCCCCATAGACTGCAAAATACACCTCAGTGAACCCTCAAATCACATGAGATCCTTTATTATTTCTAGCTGAAGAGTTTAGATAAGTTGGCTCAAAAACTAAACCAAAAGTTTAGGGCCAGTAATTTTTAAATTGATCAAAAGTGACAGTAGAGACATTTATAGGACAACTAGATGAGCTCCAGAGACAGATCCCCAGTGAAGACCTCATCTCCTAGACGGCCACTGGGACAAGACCACAGGAACCAGATGAGTCCTCTGCACAATGTGACTTTGCTGCAGCCTGGAACTGAACTGCTGGTTTTGTCTGGCCAGAGAAGAACTGGCCCCCCGACTGAGCCTGGTTTCTCCCAAGGTTTCTTCTCCATTCTGTCACCGATGGAGTTTTGGTTCCTTACCGCTGTCGCCTCTAGCTTGCTTAGTTGGGGACACTTAATTTCCAGCGATATCGTCAACTTGATTGCACAGATACTATTTAAACTGAACTGAGCTGGATGATGACATCACTGAATTCAATGATGAACTGTCTTTAACTGAAAAATTAGTGTTTACTATTGTCCTTTTGCATTATTGACACACTATTTTCCTAATTAATGCTGTACAGTTGCTTTGACACAATCTGCATTGTTAAAAAAGCGCTATATAAATAAAGGTGACTTGACTTATAATGTTACAGAAGATGTCAAAGAAATGCTGTTCTTTTGAACCTTCTGTTCATCAAAGAAACTTGAAAAATTATCGGTTTCCAAAAAATGCTGTTTTCAACATTGTTGAAATGTTTCTTGAGCAGCAAAATAATATTAGAGTGATCTCTGACGGATCATGTGACACTGAAGACTGGAGTAATGATGCTGAAAATTCAGCTCTACATCACAGGAATAAATTACATTTGACAATATATTCACATAGAAAATAGTTGTGTTTTTTGCTGTATTTTTGATCAAATAAATGCAGTCTTGATGAGCGTAAGAGACTTTAAAACATTGACAAAAATCATAACAGCCCCAAACCTAGCTACAAAAGCTAGGATATATAATGCAGGTTTTTGTTCTTTGTTCAATTTCACTAACTCCATCTGTTGGGTGAAAATCGAGTCTCGGCATGTTCATTCATATCTCACGCACGCGCGTACACATGCTGTGTGTGGTCCTGACAACAACTGGTTGTAGCAGCGCATGCTAGCAACAGCTGCAGATCCTCTCTGCTATTATAGAAACACAAGCACAAAGTTTACAACACTAACACTCTGAAAAATTTGCAAAAAAATGTATCTTTAGGGATACAACAGCTTGTCACTGGAGCAGTTCTGATAAGGGACAACTTTGTACCTTATTTAACCCTAAAAGATGCATATTAGTACCCTAGAGTAGTATACTTAAAATACTACTATGAACCTTTTAAGGGTAAATAAGATACAAAGTTGTCCGTTTGAGGTTACTGTCCTAATAAAAAAGAAGCACCAAAGCAATGTTAATTTATTTATAAAGTTTCATTGAGTGAAGCTGACACGAGTGTCAGTTCCAGGTGGCCTAACACAAGAGACATTGTTAACAGATGGAAAGAAATGATCTCAGTCTAGCAGCTTTTACCCAGGTTTAAGTCCAGGATCACAGCCAGCACTCTTGCACATTGATGCATGCAGAAACTCCACAATAATCATGTGTAAACTCAAACATACATGCTTTAATACTGGCTGACTGAGTTCCCTGCCTTATAAGGAGTTGACCAGCATGTTTTTTGTACTTACACAGATGGTTATTGCTCCAGCCCCCATCTCTCTTCTTCCAGGAAGAACCTGTAGAGTGATGAATTCCCCAAATTCCTTCTCCCTTCTTACTGTGACCTCCTTAACATCCCATAACAAAGTCACCAGGTCATAATGTGTTGTTTAGTCCACCTTTGGATGGGCTAAACATATATCCGAAAACTTCAGAGGCTAAGCAGAGGAGTCAGGCTCCCTTTCCTAAAGCTAGCTCAGTGGAGCTTAGTGACTCCTCACCAAATGAAATCTGAGCCCTGTGCTCTAATTGGCTGGTGTTGTGAGTCACATGGCCAGCTGGCCCAAACCTTTGAGAGTCTCCACTTGGGGCAAATGAGAGGAAGCTTCATGAATTACCAATTCACGACTTTTCAGTGTTGATGTAAGGGGCCTTTGTTTGTCTTCATACATTTTAAAGAATCAACCTGATGTAGAAAATGAAACTTTTCTGGCATTTTTTTTCATGTTTTTATGATTCGATATTTTAGAATCTTCTTTGCAGCTTAATTAAGAAAATCAGACCAACTTAAGCTGCATGTACATTTTGTATGCACAGGCTTTTGTACTGAATAAAACGCAGTACAACTTTTCTCATATTATTATCACTTCAAAATGTGGCCTGGGTTTCATTATTACAGAGGATTTTGAAATCCTAACAAGTTATATCCATAAAATATATTTCATAAATTAATGAGATTTGGCAGAGACTATACTATATTCAAATATATATTAGATTGTTTAGAGTGTGAAATAAGGAGCAGAATGCACTAGAAGGAAGTAAGTGCAATAAAGGAATTTAAATGACATTTCTAGTTAAGCATTAGCACACTTGAAGGGCATTTCAAATAGCTGGGTAATACAATAGCTTGATTATGCTATTTATTGTTTTCATGCATGTGCTTGAGTGTCAAGTTGTCCATGTACTGCTTGAAATTTCAGATGGGTTTTCTTTAAGGTCTACTGCACAGTATGGCCTTACATTCTCTTCTAACATTCTTACATTCTGTTAGAATGCCCTCAGGCCTTACATTCTACCTTTGCAATAAATGCACCATTAATATCTGCTGATACTCACTAATCACTGAATAGCAACTGGAACAAATGACAACAGATGCTAACTAAATCAATCAACTCAGATGAACAGGTCTTTGTTCGTCTGACCTCTCTCACTGCCCAGCCCGTTACGTAACAGACATCTCAGGCAGGCATGATGGACAAGGGTTCGGGTAGGCAAACCCGACTGATCTCGGGTGTCATGGTAACCACATTGGCCAATCGCAGCAGGGAGATTGATATGCGGTTACCACAGTGTTCGGGATGTTCTGGGAGGCTGCCAGAGTGTTGCTATGCTGATGCTATGGCTTCTGAGTGGTTGTTACTGTAGGTCATTACTATGCAGGGGAAGTTTCCAGGGTGTTGCTAAAAATACTGACAAAAACTTTAAAGGTACACAGAATATAAAATGGTAAAGATTTAATTGGCGAGTTGTCAATCCGATATATAACCTAGGATATGGGTTTACCCCAAAATTCAACAAATGTGACAATGTCAATGGCAAATCCACATTTTGGTGCCTGGATTACAGTTGTTTCTATGGATTACAGCAATCTATTTGCTTCGGTAGCTTTTGACAGTCTATAAAAAGATAGCTCTGATTTCTTGTTGAATCTATTTGTACAGTCAATCGCACAACAGCTCTTTGCCATTAGAAGTGTTCTTTTGAGAAAACACCAGGATCGATGGTCCAGTGTCCTTGGAAACCCTTTTTCTGATTAGCATCATTACTGAGGAAGCAGATTGTGGCCTTGTCCCCATTGACAGTTAAAGATGGTGGGTTAGAGCCACAAAACTTTCCTAAATAAAGAGAAAATACAGTATGACAATGGGAAAATGCAGCTGAATCCAATTAAATTTTTCATCATTAACTATGCTATGGAGCATAGTCAAACCTTTTGATGACCCAGCAGCATCAAAGATCTCCATGTAATCCACACACTGCCCCAGCAAATTAACAGCCTGCAGTTCAAAGTGAGTGAAGGTGATATGGATTCCAGTGGCTGAGGGAATGGAGATAGTCCAGGTGCACACCGCTTGGCTCGGGTACTCACTGGGCCAGCTGGGTGATCGGAGCTCCCCCAGTTGACTAGTAAAGTGCCCACCGCAACCAACAGCAGCTGGAGATGAAAAGACAAAAGTAGTCCAAAGTATGAAAAAGAGAAGATTTGATTATTTTGATTATATCCTTTTATATTGAGTGTTTTGAGTGGTTGCTATGCGGTTGCTACAATGTTCTGAGTGGTTGTTGGCTCATCGCTGTGCAATTGACCCTTCGCAGGGAGTTTTTATTGACAGGTGATCAGACCAATCATAATGGCGAATCTGCCAGTTTTGTCTGACAAACAAACCCGACCGGGGAGTAGATTAACGTTGGAGGACTTGAACTTGAAAAATTGTGTGTATTAATGTCTTTCCACGGTTGAAACAAGATACCTTCTGATGTTCATTCATATTTACTTCGTGCTATATAGTAAAGAGTAAGAGATGGATCGTTTCACGTGCCGCTTCAACTGAGGCGCTACAGCAATCTGTCACAACATGTTAAAGAGCCATGAAACTGTATTTATTGTTTGAATTTCCTAAAAAATGACCAAATTTGAAAGCGGAGACTGTTTCATACCTAAAGTAACCTGCTCTGCCTTGTCTGTCGGTGTTGTCAGTGTCGTCTTTGCTCTGCAATATATTTTTTACTATGTGAGAACATGGTGTGAGAGCGCCATGGCTTGTTGAACATAGCAGCGGTAATAAAGAGGGTGGGGGGGCTGGGTCTTCGCAAAGGGTCAATTGATATGATGTTCTAAAAGGTTTCCAAGGTGTTGCTATGTGGTTTCTACAGTGTTCCAAGTAGTTAGGGTGTGCAAGGCACTTGCCAGCATGTTGTTATGGTGTTCTAAATGTTCTAAGTTGTTAGTTAGTTGCTATGCATTTAATAAGGCATATTAGCATATACTTGCTATGCAGTTGCTCTGGTGTTAGGGGTTTGTTCAAATAAAATTAAAGCATGATAAATAGCAATAATAATGCTTGCTTTAGCAAATGCCACTGACCATAACCTAAATGTTCAACTTTAAATGTATCTCATGTCATGGACGCTATTCATTTAGAGGGTGAAGAAATGTTGTGTTTTTTAGAGCCCTATGAAATCCGTTTTATCTTTTCTCAAAATCTGTTTTATTTTTTTCCGCATTCCGTTTTTTTTCCATTTAGATTTTTTTAGATTCAGTTTTTTTCCGTTTTAATTTTTCTAGGCTCAGTTTTAATGGTTAAAATTTTATTAATCTAAATTGATCTATTCATCTAAATCATCTAAATTGTAATATTATAATATTAATAATCAAAAGCAAGGGGAAAAATACTAATTTATTATTATTTAATTAAAAAAAATTTTGGGCTAAAAAAAATTCTGGTAAATATTTCTTTAAAAATAATGTTTTATAAAATACTTTTATTAGTAGTAGTAGTACTATCATTACATTAAGTACTATTTCTGTCACGATTTCTTCAAGTTGAACCAAACTTTTATTTTGACGGGTTGCTGTGAAGACCTTCTGTTTCTACATGATATGACAATAGTTTTACTCAAAACAAATGGTAAAATGCTCATGAGGTGACTCTCAGAGCAGTTCTAGAGATCATGTTCATGTGTTTCTGTACTCATATTGAGGCGGCAGAGGCTGAAAACAACATGAGCGTCACTCAAGCTTCAGTGTGTGTGTGTAGTAAACAAAACTGTGCGTCTGCGCCATTCATTCATGCAGAGACACGCAGAACATGCAGGATACATATTTAAATAGTGTTTTTGTGGCTTAATATTCACAGACACTAGTCCATATCACGTTTTGATTTAGTCTTCCAAAATTTGGCAAATTACGTGGCATTCTGCGTTATACTGTGATTCCATCCGTATTTTCCGCATCGCGGAAATCATAAGGCCCTAGTTTTTTCACTCACCCTCTATGTCAGCAGGATCCGCTGCTTTCCAAATGGCACTGAACCCTGTGTCCACGATTTTGTCATTGGAGGAGAAACTGACAGTCAGTGTGTCTCCAGCCGTGACTAGATCTCTCGGAGGAGATGTGCAGTAGGTACCTGAGAAAAAGAGGCAGTGTATTATATCTCATCCACATTCCCTAAACACCATGGCGGCCCACCTGAGAGCACACTAGTATATATGGACAAGCCACATGGGATATGTCTATGTACCCAGAGTGCCGACGCTATCGCTGAGAGTGACTTTGTCAGTAAGGCACAGCGTGGTCTCCTCCAGGGAGAAGTTGCTAAAGTGAAGGTAGACGTTTTTCCCTGTGGGCACACGGATATTCCACTGGCAGGAAGCTCTGTTACTGTAACTTTCTGGATGATCCATTGATGCCAGCATGCCCTCCGTTCCAACCAGATCCTTCAGTCCACCACAACCAGAACCTTGAGAAAACGAGAATGTGTTTTAAACTCCACTCTAAAATCTTTAATTGATTCCAAATGAAAAAGCTTCTCCAGTCCAGCAATGCCGAGCGGACGTACTGGTGAAGTCATAGATGTCTTTGCGAATGATGTTTTCAATCCAAGGCAGGTAGGCAGAAAAACGAGTGAAGACACTGGGCTTCTTATCAAAGACACAGCCGATTGGACCAAAACTAGTGATGCCATGCACCTCCCAGGCGGCCGAGGGGCCGTCTTGGCATACCAGGGGTCCACCTGAGTCACCCTATACATGAAATGAATGCTATGAGCAACAAACATTTTTGTACAGTAGATTGTTGTTGGTTGGTTTGTTGTTTGCTTTGCTTGAACTCTTTCCCCGCCATTGATGGAATTTTCTGGCTTTCTGTGTTTGCACTGTTATACAGTAAGAGGCGCTATGCACATCTTCTAAAGAGTACTGAATCCCTGGGACAAACCATGACAAAGAGGAGGCAGAAACAAGCGACTGCATATGAAAGCAGATGCGTATATAAAATAATGCAACCATTAAACAGCATATAGATCAAAACTGCCTAACGCTACCGAATGAAATGTCGATCCAGGAAGTGGCATAGGACTGTGCAATCTTTTGGGGTGTTGATGGAAGCAATCTACTCGATCTATGTTTTGATCATCGTTCTGAATCCAATCCTAACCCGGTGGGGAACGAGTTGATTGGTACGTAAGGCAATCTGCTGAAATTACATCTACAAACACCCTAAAGATGCTGCAAAAAATATCCAGTCATTTTTCATTTCAGCCATAAAGTGCAGATGCAAATCATACTGAATACAGTGGTATCTCAGAATCACTCCATACCTGGCATACAGACTTGAGCTCATCAGGTAAAGTGTAGCCACAGCAGATCATGGAGGTCTTGACCTGGAACCACCAATAGTACATGCGTTTACAGGTATCATACGGCACTACCGGCAGAGCAACCTGGTTCAATGCCTCAGCGACTTTGGGAGCGGTGGAGTTACCTGTGAGCAAGATGACTTCATGTATTAGTAGTTATTTTGCTTATTGTCTCTCAGAGGTAAAGGTAGCTGAAAGGTAAATATAGATTCTAATCTAACCTAGTATGATTGTTAATTTCAGAATGCATTATCATAACTGCACAGCAGAGGGCGCAATCGCTCCAGAGTCTTAGGGGACTATCAGAATTGTCAGGCATGTGGTCCAGTGAGTAAATATTGTATATATAGGATATGTATATTTTTAGTGCCTGTTTTTATACATCAGGGCAAACGTTCAAAAATTAAACCAGATGGGGCTGCTGAAAAAGTAAAAGCATGATTTTTCGAGCCACTTTTGTCTGAGCAGTAAAAATGCCCGATCACTCTATGATAATATTATGCTTGTAGCAAAGAGACACTGTTAAGATGCCACTAAAAATCCATCACTGACAAAACATTTATATATAATATAATACAATGAAATATTAGCTATTTACATTTTGCATAGTTATTTTAGTATATGCTATTATAGTGTTTATCAATATTTTTTAGTGCTGTCAAGCGATTAATCGCATCCAAAATAAAAGTTTTTGTTTACATAATATATGTGTGTGTGCTGTGTATATTTATTATGTATAAATAAATACAAACACATGCATGTATAGATTTAAGAAAAATTTTATGTTTATATATTAAATATATTTATGATATGAAATATAAGAATATGAATATATAAATTTATATACATGTAAATATTTTCAAAATATATACTATATGTGTGTGTATTTATATATACATAAATATACACAGTAAATATACATATATAATGTAAACAAAAATTTTTGTTTACATAATATATGTGTGTGTGCTGTGTATATTTATTATGTATAAATAAATACAAACACATGCATGTATAGATTTAAGAAAAATTGTATGTTTATATATTAAATATATTTATGATATGAAATATAAGAATATGAATATATAAATGTATATACATGTAAATATTTTCAAAATATATACTATATGTGTGTGTATTTATATATACATAAATATACACAGTAAATATACATATATAATGTAAACAAAAACTTATTTTGGATGCAATTAATCGCTTGACGGCACTAATATTTTTCATTAGCTTTTATTTTTATATTTTCAGTTTCTATTTTGATTTTAGTTTTGGTAATTTTGTTATGTGTTTTTTTATAATTTTTCTTTAAATGAAATAAACATGACATAAAAAGGAAATAAAAACAAAAACTAACAGAACTAATAAAAAGCACATAACAATTATTAAAATTGTAAAATTAAAATGAAACAAAAAATAAAAATGCATTCAAAATATGAATAAATTGTATAATAGTATATAAACAATCCAAAAATACACCGATTTCAGCTTAATTTCAATTAACAAAAACAAAATTTATACTTTTAGGTTTATTATTATTATCTAAAAATATAGTTTTTTGTATTTATCATAAAGACTTTTTAACAGACAGCTACTTTTAAGGACCATCAAAAGATTTTTTTTAGTGACCTCCTTATGTCAGTTACCCAAAAAGAGGAAGTCCTCCCCAAAATGAACATGACTGGCAAAAAGCTCCTGCATGTTTTTTGATTGGCTAACAAGTTCTCGCAGTTTCTTCCATCTATTTATATATGTATACTGCATACTTTCAGCAGTATTGCAAAACCACCACAACATTTTATCATTTATATCACTATAATTCAGTGACTGGACAACACAGAACCATAACCTAACCTGTTTCATCTCCCCAGCCGGTGGCGTAGCATTTTTTCCCTTCGGGCAGGACCTCCTCAAATGAAGGCAGACAGGCGAAATCAATGTAGTCGTTGGCTTTCACCTCTCCATCCAGTCGCACCAGGGCGATGTCGAACTCCACAGTTGGCACAGTTGGGTACTGGAAGCCCTCGTGACGATAGATGCCAAGCACGTTAAAGCACTGTTCAGTCAGTTCAGAGAAGGTCAGGTTGTGTTTCCCCAGACACATCTTCCAGCGATGCAGCTCATCAGCATACCTGATAAAAGTTCACACACACACACACACACACTCACAAGTACACAGTGTGATCACAGGATGATCGAGACCCAGACTCCATTAGAGATAAATTAAAGCACATACATATATATAATATATATATTAACCTGATGAAGCAGTGAGCAGCTGTCAGGACCCAGTTTTTATGGATGAGAGTTCCTCCACATGTATGACCGAATTTGGGTGAAGGCTCAGAATCATGCCAAACCTTTAACAAAAATTTGAATAAAAATTAGGCCTATATTTCTGCATTTTTTTGATTCAGCATGAGTTATGCATTATATATATATATGACATTTAATAGTTAGGGTTAGAGGTTTGTTCAAACCTCTAGTCCTAAGAATATTAATATTAGTGCTTCCCTTAGCAAACACAGATAATAATCATAATGATAAGAGCAGCAAGCTGAACTAATAACTGACCTCAAGCACACCGACCCTGGTAATATTATTGTTCATTTCACATATCATTAGCTTTGGATAAACAATTTTATATTTAATAAGATAAAATGACAAACATCTTTCCTGTAATATAGAATAGCTGAAATCTATTTGGGGTAAGGTGTGAGATTAGATGAAGGCTTAACTGTACCTGCATGGATACTTGCCATGGCCAGGAGTGAGCTTTGGCAGGTTCTCCGTTCACTATGCGAGTGTTGACATCCGGAGGGATCGTGGGCTTCCCGCAGCTCTCAGGCCAGTCTGTGAAAGAAGAGGGCTCAACATTCAGGTGAAGGCATTTATCTGCAGAGATTTCTAACATGCTGAATGATTTCAGATGTGAATAACCCTCCCTCTAAATGACCCAGAAAAAAATAGACTAGTTTTCAAAAGATATTTTGGTACTGCACTGGAAAATGTGAATGGTGCTTGCAAAATTATGACCATGACGCCTTTGTAGGTAGTTTTCAGGTTGTTGCTAGGGTGTTCTGGGTGGTTTTGAGTATTGCTATGCAGTTGTAGTGAGTGCTAAGATGTTCTGACATGTGACATGTTCAACAACTATGTGACAATACAACACACTTTGTAAAACTATTACTGCACAGCTCCATATTTTACCTGCATACATACAGTATATATAGTATATAAAAAGTTAAAATTAAGGTTCTTTAGTTGCATCTATGGTTCCATGATGATCTATCCATGGAATCGTTCCATTCCACAAAAGGTTCTTTAAAGTGGAATAAGGTTCTATAAATCATTCAGATGTTCTTCACACTAAGAACAAAAATGGTTCACAGATTGCTGAAAGATTCTTTGGGGAACCAAAAATGGTTCTTCTATGGCATCAATGCAAAATAAAAATAAAAAAACTTTTGGAAACTTAATTTTTAAAAGTGTAAAGCAATATATAATGTATAGCAAATCGCAAATGCATGATGCATCACAAAATTTTAAATGTATCCTTGCACAGCTCAATATATGTAGTTGTATATACAGTATATTATATTCAACTTTATCTGTATCAAAGACTATAGAATACCCAAGACGTGTCACTCAGACGTGTCAGTTTGAAGGAGATAGCATGCATGCCCGAGAGACATTTCAAAGATGGCCGCTGAGTCACATGACTTGCCTTAAAGGGACTTTAGGTGCATTCACGCCATATCGTAATTACCGTAATTACGAGATACCAACTTGTAAAAAGCGTTCACGTCCTCGTAGAACTCGTAATTACAACTTGTGAACTGGGAGTTTTCTGAGAGCTACGGCTTGAACCACGTGACAGCTGCACCTCACGCGGAACCAGAGAAAAGTTTTTTCTATATTCTATATAGCAACTGCCAGATTTTTTCAATCTCAACTGCCAGATTTTTTTATTTTTGTCGTAATATGTAACTATTATAACCCAGATCTTTATAAGTTCAATACATTCACCTATTGTGATATATGTATATAGCAAACCTCAATCACTTGTTTGCATTTACTGAAAAATGTAAACTATCTTATCAACCAGCTCTTATCTGCTAAATATGACTAAATGGTATGAAGATATTAAGATATAATAAATATTAACATCATGATTTTCTGTAAAGCTGCTTAGAAACAATGTCTGCAAAAAGTGCTATGCAAATTGCATTGACTACATTGACTTGACTGATTGATGTGTAATGTCTGGTTAGGATTATTGGCGCTTGATTTATATTAAAGGGGTCATATGATGCAATTACAATTTTTCCTTTCTCTTTGGAGTGTTACAAGCTCTTGGTGCATAAAGAAGATCTGTAAAGTTGCAAAGACTAAAGTCTCAAATCAAAAGAGATATTCTTTATAAAAGTTAAGAGTCAGCCACGCCTACCTAAAACGGCTCGTTCTAACACGCCCCCACATGTCTACGTCACGATGTAGATTTGCATAACACCGCCCAAATGTTCACGCAAAGAAAGAAGGCGTAACTTTTATTCTCGCTGTAGTATTGTTGTTGCCGGGTGTTTCGTTGTGAAAGCGAAACTACTTTGTTTGGCCTCCCAAAAGAGGACGATATCCGCTTCGTCATGCCTGGAGCTAAACCGTGCTGGTCGCTGAGGAAATACATCAACTTCGCGCTGTGGACCGCCGGATCGGCTTTCACCTTAGATGAAGTGGAGTCCAGCCCGGGGTCATCACATGTGGTTGCCGCAAGCCCACTGGCCGCCTCTTTCGTCGAATCCACCGGCCACGTCGTTCTCAAGCCCGCCGCCTCTGCTCACTCTAGCCCGCTGTGTGTTTCGTTGTGAAAGTGAAACTACTTTGTTTAGTCTTCCAAAAGAGGACACAACTAGAAATCAGTGGTTAAGTTGTATTTACAACACTGTTCCAGAACAGCTCAACCCAAATATTCAGATGTGTGCAGCACAGTTTCTCCTGTGCATTTTTACCCCTTGTTTCTGGAGAAAGCAGAATGAGAGCCGGCTCGCATTCCACAAGGTTGTAAATGTATCGGGTTACCATGAAACCAGGGTCTTGTTCGGCGTCCTGGGGTGTTACAAAGTATTTGTGAAATCTAGCTAACAAAATATATATTGTGTGTTGGAGTGGTCCAGACGCTACAGCTTGTTGATTGTCATTTCTCCGATCACAAATGCAGACATGGTTTTATGTTTAGGCAGCCAGATGCAATGCAATGCGTAAAAAGACAGTACTATAAATCATTATAATCCATAATTATGTCCCCACTGGATGCAACAAATGCCTCGTTTATAATGGGTTTTAATGTTTTTGTCTCTTCGCTCCGGCCGGGACACGGCATCACAATATGGTAAGGGGTGTAACATTTCCATCACATGCTTGAGGTATTCGGCCAATCACAATGCACTGGATAGCTGGCCAATCAGAGCACACCTCGCTTTTCAGACCGATGCGTTTCAGAAAGGCGGGGCATAGAGGAGAAACAATAATGTACAGTATGTGGAAAATAATGTGTTTTTTTTTACCTTAAACCGCATAAACACATTTCATTACACCAAATACACAAAATAATGTTCTTTTTAGCAACATCATATGACCCCTTTAAATTGCTGGAACTGATGTTAAATGTGAAATTACATTAAATGTATTCGTTCATACCTATCTTAATGTCATCCCAAGGGTTGGGCGGCACCGGAGGCTCAGTGGGGGTCGGTAAGGTGGAATCGGTAGTCCAGTGCGCATGAAAACCTTTGGCCTCAATAAAAAAGTCGGCAAAGAAACGTATCACAAGTTCATTTGTTGTGCTTTCGATGACAGCAGGCATTTTGGAGCCGCAAAAGGGGCCTGTGAGAAAGTACATTTATTTGAATATATTGCCTTCTATAGACCTTAAAAGCATGGAAGCCATACCATTTTAGTGGACAGTATATTATAAACATATGTCAGGTTTGAATGAATGAAGGTTATAAATATGTCACAGTTTTATCTGATTTAAAGGGCCTCATAAACAGGCACCCTTGAAAACGCATTCAATAACATTCTTGTCCTCGCTCACCGTATTTTTTCGCTCCAGGTTGTGTTCCGTCGTAGACTACCACGTTGTCATTGCACTGGCCGAAAAGGATGCCAGCCTCTTCCACGTCAAAATGAGTGAACGTCAATTTAATGGTCTTCCCCTTGGGAACATGTATGGTCCACAGACACATGCTGTTAGCTGGATAGTTCGTGGGCCAGTTTTGAGACTTGATGATGCCTGTCTCCTCCTGTGAGAAACCTCCACATCCCTGGATATCTGCAGGACATCATAAGTGAGGTTTGGTGCCTTCGGACAGAGTAACGGCTATAAAATGTGACAGTTAAAGGTAGAATTGTTCCAACCAAGCAAAATGTCAGAACATTGTGTCTTGCTATCGTAGCAGAAGTCAGCTGGCACATGGCATCTCAGGTTTTAGCCCCAGGTCCAGGACAAGCCACATGTCACCAGGGTCCAAAATTAACTTTTTGCTATACTTGCCAATGGCAGATGTTTTTTTAGTAATATCTATTTTTGTTGTAATTGCAATGTAGATGTTTTTCCTTGCATATTTCTGACAAACAGCACACTGCTTTTCCAAAAGTATCATCATTTTGTCGGTAAAAAAAGTATATGTGGTAAACGTGTCTGCAACTTAAAAAGACTGTAGAGACAATTGGTGCCATTTTTTCTACAGGTCATTGGGCTGCTTGCAAAATCAATATCACAATATCAATATCAGACAATCACTAATCACAAGCAATGTTGAGATTTATTTTGTCCCTCGTATTTTTGTTTTATGGATGAATAGAATTTTTTATTATAGAAAATTATGAAAATAAAATTATTTGTAATTGTAATTACTTTTTATGTCATAATTATGACTTTTTACAGGCTTTCATCGTTTTTTTCAATAGGAAGCAATGATGTTTTATTTAAATATGCGCTAGACTGATATCTTTGGCCGTATGAATCTTTTATACATAATGCACAGTAAACATGGTCTAAAATCATGTGCAAGCTTAGACAATCACAGAAAATGTGAGGATTTATTTTGTTCATTATATTTTTGTGGCTTATTAGCATTTTTGTATTATAGAACAAGCATGAAAGGTTATTGAAATGCAAAGAAATATGGTAAAAAATGTTCTATAAGGCCTTCTTTTTTGTCCATTTCTGGTCGGCTGCACAGGCAGTAGGAAACTGCAGGCAGAATTTACTGTGAGTCTAAGGAGAATATGTCACAGAGACAAGCTTTAACTGTGAGCGCTTGCAATGCATGTTAATGCAGGCGTCAATCAGCATGACTACAGATGGTTTCCTCTCCTTTTTTAGGGGTGTAGCATCTGGTGAAGGGGGAAATGTTTTTCATAAATGCAAGAATCTGTATATTTACTGTGAAATATAGCTCTTTCAAGTCAGCCAGGACATTTATTTGAGCGATTTGGCGCTATTCCAGCTTGTGGATGTGCAACAGATTTCGAATGACATTTCTAAAACATTGAAATACTGTTAAAATGGGATGGTAAAATGATGTTGACTGTGCGTTTCCTACAGTTATTTTGCATTGCTATTCTACCCTCATTACCTTGACTTCAAAATATCCATAGGGGACACACGCATGGAAAATCTCGCAAGACACACAGGGTTGCTGATGGCTTTTGGCTCACAGTCGCATCAGCAGGATTCATCCGAGGTGTGTGTATGTGTGTGTAGGTGTGAGTAGATAGATGCCGTTATAAGTTTGCAAGGTGTTTTACCAGAAAAGTCCTCTGGATACACAGCTTCCCATGTGGCAGAGAAGCCGTGGTCGGCTAGTCGAGCATCTGACTGGAAACTTAGCGACATGTTGTTACTGACACTGATAAGTACCAGGGGAAGAACAAACCCGCAGTGTGTGCCTGAGAGAAAGAGATAAAAGAGATAGTTTATCTCCTGGCCCAAAGTCAGAACATTGGCATGGCTGGTTTCGCATCATTTGTACTCAAGGCCACCTACAGTACAAAGTTAGTCAAAGTTTGTTTCTTGCATCAATAAGACATCAATTAGTTTTACAATTAGTTTTACAGACACTCCCCTCCTGGCACTTAGAAATAAACAGGCTATTTTTGGTACTGTACATTAAAAGGGTCTTTTATGGAAGTCCATTTGCACAACATAAGAAAAAGATGCTTTTGTAAATTATAATTTTGAGATAACAGGTGGAAATTATGAGATACTAAGAAATAATTATGACTAAAAAAAGTCAAAATTATGACAGTACGTTTAAATTATGAGATACATAATTTTTATGAGATTAAAAAGTCAAAATTATGGCACAAATTGAAATTAGAAAAAGTCATTTAGACAGGCAATTATGACAATTTTGTCATAATTGATTTTTTTTGTCACAATTATGATTTTATCTTATAATTCAACCCTTTGTCTTTTTAATTCATAATAATTATGTTTTTTTCTCACAATACTTTCAATGTCATAAATATAACTGATTTTATGTTATAATTATGACATGAATTTTGGAAGACAATTTGTGCAACATAAGAAAAAATGTATGACATAAATCATTAAAAGTCAGGTAATTATGACAAATTTGTCATGTCATAATTAACTTTTGGTCACAATTATGACTTTTTTTAAATCTCATAATTCAATCTTTTGTCTTTTTATCCTATAATCATGACTTTATATCTCATAATACTTTTAATATAAACATAACTTTTTAATGTCATAATTATGACTTTTTACCACATGATTTCGATGTTAGAAATAATGAGGACTTTGTGTCTCATGATTTTGACTTTTCATGTCATAATATGACATTTTATGTCATCTCTTGAGGGACACTGTTTTACCAAGACAATATCAATTTAGAACGATCATGTCCAACTCCAGTCAAATTTTACTGTTAAATCCTTGTCTGACTAGAGATTATTTACCAACGTGAAAAAAAAAAAAATCTGAGAATATTTCAGCATCATGTCATGTGTCTGAGTTTTGTTTTGGCTATGAATAAATCACTATTCTGAGTCAGTTATTTTCACTGGGTCAGTTAGCCAAACTGTTTGAATCGGTTCATGATTCAGTTTATACGATTTGCTCACACAATGGAAATGCATCACATCATTTTGTCAGCGAAGAAAAATCTGTTTATTATTAAGTTAAACACCTGCATGTGAAACTGACTAATTACTTTGTACTCCAAATAAACACTTCTAGAGGGCTTTTCATAATTAAAGATGTAATATTAGTATTATTAAGATGTGAATTCACTGTATAGCTGAGGTTAACATTGTTTTGTTATGCATTTCAGTTCAAACTCTTTGTACTATTCCTCTCTTCAGGGTAACACAGGCTGTCAGCAGAACTAACACTAACACACCTCTTCGTCTTGACAGCCAGGATAAAGAAAGTGATGTGAAGGACACACACACATACACACTTGTAAGGCAAGTAAGGGCACAGTGTTGAGACAAATCTTTTTTGTCCCATGGAAGAAAGTAAGTCAGATGACTTTGGAATGACATGAGGTGACTTTGTTTGAGAGCACTATTCCTAACAGCCAGCGAAACACTTGTCCTTTTTGTCCTTCCTTGTAGTTCAAACATCCCAAACTCTTGGTCTTTTCCCTCAGACTTTTTCTACCATTCTTCCTCAACCTGCACTGGGACTTATTGACAGTATCTGGCTTGCAGTCCTTGAAAAGCTGCTGCAGATAAGCGTATCGGCTGCTCACAGCTCTGTTTGATGTTCAGTAATAAGGAGCCGTAATTTATAGTATGCTCGCCTGCTGGCTCATGCCTCGCTGAGACTGATGATAATCAGTTTTTACAGCCCTTTTGTGTGAGGGATAAGAGAGAGCGATGAGAACGCCAACTACTCTTGCGCCAGCGGTGCCATTTAGTGTTAGTTATGGGCCCCAAAACAGAGTCGAAGGTCGTCTCTGATAGGCCACGTTCTGGCACAGTGCTATGCTGGCTTGACACATTTCATCTAATTAAATTACTGGAAGATGTGTCACATATAAATAGGACAAGTCTGTTCAAATATTAAGCCCAGTTTTAATAATTCAGTTTCGGGCAATTGCAAAATGAGGTGATTTTTGGATTTAAACACAACATTGTTTAGAGCAGACTGTAGATTACATACTATAGATTACAGATTACTGAGAGTAATACCCTTGAAAACTCGCTGACTTGAGGCTTGGGCCTTGTGTTTCCAAGTTTGCAAGCACCATTTATTAAACATAAATAACTGAAACTGAATAAAAGTTAAATTTGAAACCCTTTAAACTCTGAAATTGCTAGGACATTTCAGCAAGAAATGGCAAGTAACATGAGATTTCAAATGAAATTTTGAAGTAGAAAGACTGAAATAGTATTTTCCAGTAATCTCGTAGTTACCATTGTACCTTTGTCTTTTCAGAGGCGCATCTTACCCAATGACTGCTGACTATCGGTGACGGTGAGTTTATCTCTGTCGCATTGGCCTGCTTCGCCCACGATGGCCAGATCAGTGATATGTAGTTTGACAAGAAAGCCCTCATCCACTGAGATGTCCCAAGAGCACCTCAAGTTTGCAGGATAAGCCTGAGGATAGTTCTTGGAGTTTATCTGACCTTTACGTCCGAACAGCTTCCCAGGGGACCCACAGCCAGAGTCTGAACAGAGAGCGAGCGTTATTGTCGGAACAATAATGCACAAGAGAAATTCATCAGACCTTGCAGTGTTTAAATATCATCTGGCTTCATGTAAGGTAGAAAGCATGTCATGCATGGCACTGCTACTCTTGTTAACAGAGTAGATTTAATTGATTTTCTTCAAGTGTTGCACTAAATTATATTCTCCACAGAATTCCTCCTACACCCCAATTCACACATTACAAAAAACTGACAAAATAGCTCTTTAAATGCCTCAGCTGCTCTTCCTAGACAAAAAATAAATTAAATTATGAGCAAATGGAGCAAAAGTCTCCAGCTTCTCAAATATTTCTCCTGGGGACAAATACCCCAGTAGATCCACAACAATGTCTCAAACTGTACTCAGATTTGCCAGTATATTTTCCAACATCTCTCATTAAATGAATCCAAAGTAGATACAGATATTACATATACTGTATATACATATATATACAGATACTAGCCTAAATTAAAATAATAATAATAATTATTATTATTAGCAATAGGACAAAAACTACAGTAGAACAAATAAGAAATGCTACATACACTGTATAAAGTAATCAAATGTATAAAATGCTGCATATTGTGCACTTCACTGTGTAAATTATATTTCTTCTTATTAAAGTTACAAAAGTGATTCAGTCAAGAGCAGTGAGAGATTTTCTCGCTTTTGTTGGTTGATAAACATGAATGACAAACAGCAGGAATCTTAGACTGCTATCACTTTAAGAGCTGACTGGATCCAATATACTGTTACACATTTTCTTTCTCAGCTGTGTGCTTTAATTTAAGACCTACATTACTGTGTTTATGAGGATACTTGTAAACAGAGGCGCCATGCCCATTCAAAGTGAGGGGGCACGTGCCCCCTCAGATTTTTGAGCCAAGTGGATTTTGAATGCAGCTTCCAAAAGACAAAAAATAGCCGATTCATATTTTCTATATTTAATACAATCACACTGGTGTGATTAGAACGTTCAGTGCATCATATCATCACAGGTATGTGATGCATTGATTCAGTTTGACTGTACTTCCCTTCGGGAGCAGGAGTCTGGGTCTGAACAGGTGTGCTAATCGTTGGTCCAGTGGTCATGGTCTTGGTGGTGGTCGTTGGAGTGGTTGTAACGGGTGGGGCACTAGCTACTGTATGGGTGGCACTGAAGCCTTTAGCAGTCCCGCTCGAATCAGACTTGAAACGTACCACCATACTACTGCCACTAGACAACACTGGAGCCGGGAGACTGTTTCCACAGAAACGACCTACAGTAATTGAGATTTATATTTTTTGGCAGAGAAAAATGAGTGCACAGATGTTCGGTGAGGAACAAAGGCAAGCTTTTTGGATTCGGCAAATGTCAGTTCTCACCCAGTTGGGCGGCACCATCTGAAGCGCCGTCATAGACATCCACAAAGTCACCACATGATTCTGGGACAAGGTTAAATGCTGTGAATGTTAGCCGGACCTTTTCCCCATCAGGTACGTGTATCATCCACTGGGTGACCCATGCAAATGAAATATATATTATATATAACCCTCACCTTTGAATAACTAGAATACATTGTATTTAAACTGCTATTTTTGGCATTTTGATTTTGCACATGTACAATGCATAAACTGATCCAAATGCAATTTTGGTATCCTGACAGGGCTGGTGATTGAAATTGTGCTTTCTCATGCATCTTTAGTTAGTTTCAAGTCAAGGCTGGAAGGCTGGCTGTAGATTAACTGATGTGGGTAAATATCTTGCCAGATGGAGCCACGATGTGAGGAAGCTTCCAGCAATCTGACTTCCACAATCAAAGCCCCTCATGTCAAAACTGATCGTCAAATCCTCCTCACAAACTGCACAATTTCCTGTGTATGTGCAATGTGTCACTGGAGTCATTATTCATAACAATTTGTCAAAGCGTGATGCAACTATATTTTTTGACATTGTGAGAAAAATGTGCATGTGCAAAACACTCCGCCTCCGATGCTAGAATGTTATTGATGGGTGCAAGGGCATTGGTTGCTAGTCTGTTCTGGATGGCTGTTAGGTGATTGCATGCTGGCACGGTCAAAAGAAACCAACCCCAGTAGCTACATTTCCATGCATTCAAATAATACTTTTTTAATTGGATTGATGGCTCAATCGGATTGAAAAGGCTTCATGTAAACACCTCAATTGATCCAACTGAGCGTGATCTGAATTAAATTTATTTAGTATTTTAAAAGAGTGGTATAGACCTGCAATAATCCAATCAATAGGAAAAAAGTACAATAAGATATTTGTTTTACGTCTTACGAATATGCATAGGTTTATTTACGTCTTATAAACTGGTCTGTGGCGGAGACTGAATATTTATAAAATATTTGCTTAAAAAAACCTCTTCTGACATAAATGTCAGTTTTCTTTTTAGATATACATCAAGACAAAAACGATAATAATAACTGGTCTGAATACATGTAATGTACGTGCAAACAAAAATGTGCATCAGACTGCAAAATTTAAGGTTTATATAAACAGAACTTCAGATTGGATTTATTCGCACTTACAAAAATTATTGAAAATGGCTAATATTCCTTTCCAATGTGGATTCATTTAATCTGTTTTATCATATACTGAAAATCAAGTCCTGTCACTTGCGATAGTAACATAGAAATTGAGGTATCACACATGTCCGCAGCACAAACAATCTCTTACTGTAAGTATGAGCAATAGTAATAGTGATGATTACATTACTGTTTAAAAACAAAGGGATTTCTTCTTACACAGGAGTCAAATATCTTCATGTTATTAATTTTGATGGTGAAGGTTGTGCATGAGTAAGGCAGATGCTATTGAACACAGTGTTCAGAGCAATCGGATCGTAGGTGGAAAAGGACAAAGATACAGACTCCAGAGAACAAACTGGAAAATGACAGTAATAAAGAGCAGGTGTAGAGGTCATATTGATCATTGGAAGCACCTGGTAGAGCGCACCGTTCTCATAGTTTTGTGAGGGAAAGCCAGGGGTCAACAGCTCCCCATGATCACCTTGAAGAACGCCACCAGCCCCAACTATTTCTAGAAGCATGGGAACGAGAGAGATTTAGCTGCAAAGAGAGACACCAAAAGGGTATTCTGACAGCCCCCCTCCCAATACACCCCAGTTAAACACACACACACATACACTAACGCGCTGTGCCTCTTTCTAGGTCAGCTGCAGCGAGACACATATAACAGCCTCTCAGTATCTGGCAGAGTAAGATACAGTCACTAAATGATGATATGAAAGACACAGCAGACGTGTATTGTTAAGTCTCAAATGTTAATCCACCGTGTTAATAATACTGTTATGTAATTAACTAATTCATTACGTAATGCCCATTGTCTTTACCTGACGTTGTCTCAGGGGCCACAGCACGGTACAGGGCTTTGAATCCCCTCTCTGTGTATCTGTCATTGGTGTCGAAATACACAAAAAAGCTGTTTCCTAAGGACACTATCGGTTTAGGTGAAGAATAGACACAGTACTTCCCTGCAGAAGAAACGTATAATATTATTATTAATAATATATATTATATTAATATTATTATTACATATAATATTATTTATAATATTAATATTATATATATATATATATATATATATATATATATATATATATATATATATATATATATATATATACACATATAA